AGGGCACCTCCAAAGAGGTCTTTAATTTCCAAACATCCCAAACATCTCTGACATTGAACATCCAACCTACAGTACAGTATATTGGTGTAGATTTGGGAGATAAGGGTACCTCACAAACAATAATGACCCCTCCTACTCCTCAATTGGTTGGAAGAGGCCCCCTGCATGCTGAGCCAACTAGTGATTTTGCAACTGAAGGGTTTCCTCGTACAAGTTTGGGTGGATTACATGATGAAGAAAGAAATGATGAGACTTATGAGGAGCCTTTGAACTCCATTGTTCAAGGCAATGCACTGGCTTCAGCTAGTCAACTGCAGGAATCTTCCAGTCGTTTTGTTGGAGAGTTCATTGAGAAGGTGACACACGAAGTCTCAACTCCTCAAGTCCAAAAGGAGAAGAGTAGTTCTGGAAAGGAGTCAGCGAATGAAGTAAGCAAGCACCAAAATGACTCAAGGCGCTCATCTCAGAGTTCTGGGGTAAAGGGACCTTCTGATGAAATCTGGGATGTGATGGACACTTCAACTCAAGAGCCTGCTGGGACTGATGCACCAGAAAGCGCTAACCCCACCAACAATATTATTGCCAAGAGAACTGGAAGGTCCTTGTGGAATGTTTTTTCAGATGTACTTCACTTGAGGTGGGGTTCACGTTCTGAAAGCCAAAAGTTAACTCTAAAGACAGGTGAAAGGAGGTCTCCTAATCAATCTAGCAGTGAAGCATGGTTCTCGGGTCATGAGCCTGATGAACTCAGTGATGAGCACGGAAAAAGGGAAAAGCAAAGCATTTCACAAGATTCCATGTCTACTGATCAGCTACATGTGGTAACAATGCCTGCTGGGGTTCATCGAGACACATCCAGCTTAGCAAGTTCAAAGGACAAAATTGGCTATGTGAGAGTGGACACGTCCTCTTCAAGTGCCTCTGAAAGTGAGTTCGTATCCAAAGGTTTTTTCTTCAGTTCTGCTAAAGAGAATTCTGGAAGGAGTGGGACCTTGGAATCTGCAGCCAAGCCTTCTTTACAAATAAGATATCCTAATGTGGGTGAAATTTCTGAAGCTAGCAAGAATAGTGTATCTGGAAGTGCTTTGTTGGTGCATAAGGATCAGCCAATTGGTAGTGGTACAACTCATTTATTAGGGACTGAAAGCAAGGATGCGGTGCCAAAAAGAGGAAGGCTTCAAAGGACCCATCAGGTCAATAGAGATAAATTTGATGAATGGGAGGAAGCATATAAGCTTGAAAGTGAGCAACGAAAAATTGATGAAATGTTTATGAGGGAAGCATTGTTGGAGGCTAGAAAGGCTGCTGATATGTGGGAGGTGCCTGTTGGGGCTGTCCTTGTACAACATGGAAAAGTAATTGCTCGTGGTTGCAATTTGTAAGTTTGTACTTTCATATTCTTTATTTGTTTTGTCTGATAATTTTGTTTGGAGAATGTTATAGTTTTAATAATTTCAGAGTGGAAGAGTTACGTGACTCCACTGCCCATGCTGAAATGATTTGCATAAGGAAGGCTTCAAACCTTCTCCATACTTGGAGGCTTGCGGTAAGTTCTTGCTCTTTTGACTCATTTCTATTTAACTACTACTTTTTGCTTACAGTTTTAAATTAGTTAATAGTTGGTACCAGTTTTGTTACATAAAATTGTGGAGGTAAAATTTTTTGGTGCCATCATTTGTGAAATACCATTGTTCACTGTCCAACTTCACTACAACCACTGTCAAATTGTGAAACTACATTTTAGTGCCTTGATCTGATTGGGTAATGATATAGCAGCGAGGTCTTGCTTCAAATGGTTCAAATGTTGAAATTCCTAAGAAACATTTTATATTGTGCTTGCTTGTGTTGGCCTCACAATGAAAAAGGGTTTCACAAGAGTTGCAAGGAAGTGTTTTGCCCCGGAAAGTCTTTCAAATAATTAAGTCAGGTACAGTGTTTCCAACAGCTCTAGGTAGACTGAAGTACCAAAGTCTCTATTTGCTTGGTGCAAGGCATAAGATGCAGGTATGCAGCTGACTGAAGCAAGGCACAAAAACATAAATAATGTAATAAATTGTCTAATGAAAACCTGTAAGACTGTAACTTCAAATGCATAAGCTACTTAAGCCTTTTTAAAAAAAAACAAGAATTCCAAAATTAAAGAGGTATCAGAACAGGAGAAGAAAAAGAAACTTACAAAAACAAAAAGAAAAGGCAACAGAACAGAGGGAACTAAGAGTAGAACATTGAAGTTGCCTTGTGTAAAAGATTTCTGTGAGAAAACAGAAAAATAAAATGTTCACTAACAGAGAGATGGGAGTGTGAGGGAGAAGCATGCATGAGACGGAAAGAGTTGACAAGTTGAGTAGACAGGGAGAGAGGGAGGGAGGGGGGGGGGAGATAGAGAGAATGAGAGAGAGAGAGAGAGAGTAATGGAGTAAGTCAACTACTAGGAAGATAGAATAGAAGGGAGAACACCTTGTCCTAATGTTTTGGTCTTTCTGTTGTATTTCATTATTCAATCCTCATGTTTCAGATTTGATGTGCACACCTCTCTTGCATGCTCCGAGGCAAGCCTGCAAGGATAAGGTTTTTTGCTCCTCTCTCTTAGCCCTTGAGGTGTGTCATTCACCACACTTGTCAGTCAGCTTCCTCCCTTGCTTCTTCAGTTCCATCATGGCTTCTTTTTTTTTTTTTTTTTTTTTTTTTTTTTTTTTTTTTAAATTTAATTTTAATACATGGACTCCTACCTTATTTTTTGGCCAAATACAGTGTCCTCAACTAGTTACATGCTAAGAAGCATGGACACGGACAAATGATGGAGAAATAGATGCAAACAGTGGGCGCACAACTATTGTGAAATATTCCGATTAATTAATCTAGTTGATTAACCCCTCTTGAATTTGCCTTTTTAATTCTAGAGTACCCACAATCCATGGTGTACATCAACATCACGATGGATACCTAGAAAAAAGTGAAGATAAACATGTGAACCTTTCCGTTTATGTGTACCAAGAAAATACGGTTTTTCCATTAATTAATCTTCCGATTGAAACCTAGAACTCGGAAGTTAAATTGGTATCCTTGTGGTTTTAATAGCTATGTATATATTTCAAGTAATTGGTTTAACGATCAATCTAGGAAACACCTATCTTATTGATATCTACCTTGTGCAAAGATTTCACTAACCAATTATTGTAGACAACATAGGAGACCTCCCATTCCACTAGATGGGTAATGGATCATTTGTTGGTTCTCACAGACTTTTATACATGAATAACTCATGTCCAACATAAAAACCCTCTATGACTATCCTGTGATCAAGTGATATATCAAAACACAAGTCTCTAGGTACAAAATCACTATGGAACTTCAAGTTTATGCACTAATGTAAACAAGAATTCCCGCACTGGCAAGCAATGATCCAAAAGGAGTTCTTTACCAGGGTGCTTTAAAGGATACCAAGCACTCACTTGTGTGCATAGGTGTCAGGACACTGATTGCCTATGAAATGAGGAGCCCTCCTTTGTGATGTATGCATGTGATTCTGTCCAAACCTTGGTTAATATCCTGTCTTGATAGATCCTATAACTCAGAACGATTTAAGATCACAGCCATAGAGACATGTTTCATGATCACCATCCTATGCATGATGTAGTCCCGTAGTTAACTGTGATCTAAGGTTATTATATAAGATGAAGGTGGCCAAAAAGTAAACATACTTTGGTGCTGTATGGTAGAGTGGAATCTTGAGGAAGGAATGGGAATGAGAATGAGAATGTTATAAAATTATGTTTGGTAAGTGTATTGGAATGAGAATCCTCATTCTCTAGGGAATGGGGATTCCTTCAAATGATGAAATTAGGATTCCATTCCTTCAACTCAATATAAATTTACTTAATTATCCTTTATATTTTTTAATAAATGACAAAACTACCCTCATATACCAAAAGTCAAAAATATTTTATATTAAGGTATTTTACTATTTTTTTCTTATATTAAGGGATAATAAAATAGTAATAGAAGAAATGAAAATATAATATTGTTGCATGCTAAATTATATAACATGTTAATAATCTGAGACATAGAAAAAAAAATTTTTAAAATGAAGAATTAAATTTAAAAAAAAAAAACCAAACACCATTTTATAAAGTTTCAATAACTATATATATACATATATATATTATTAATATTGTATTATTAAATTATTTATTTTGAAATTTAATATTTAAGGATAGAATATATATTTTTTAATTTTTTAATTTTTATTATATTTATAATATATTAAAAATAAAAGTTATTTAACTATTTCTAATAAAGGGTATTTTTGTCTTTAAACATTCTTTTTGTTTCCTTTCTTACTTCCATTCCAAGACACCAAATATAATGATGAAATGAGAATTTTCATTCCATCAGTGTGTACCAAACATATTTACGAGAATCTTGATTCCATTCCATTCCCATTCCCATTTCATAAAAAATCATTCAATTGTACCATACGTTACCTTTGTTATATTGCATGAATAAAGTTTTATTACAAGAGTAGAAATTAAACCATTTTAATTGGCTAGTCAGGCACTACTCTAACATCTTGCTGTTATCATTGCTGTTGGACTTCAATTATAAACTCCATTCCCACATCTGGAAACTGAAAGGCAATGACAAACTAAACAAATCACAACTATTATCTTTGATGCATTGGATCAACTTACAAAATTAGAAAGTAGAAATAATATTGCCTCTTGGCAACAAAGTTTGTATTTTTCTATGGAAATAAAAACTAGAATTTGGAGATGAAAAGTGGAAATTTGTTTTCTATACTAAACAGGCCTCAAAATTATACAGTTTTTTTCAGTGGGAATCCTATCCACCTAATTGCATGTGATTTTTGAAGAAAATACTGAAAATTTAAAGACTGTTCTCCAGGACTGTTAGAAACCTTAACAGGACTGGTGATGGATACTGTGCTGTTTTCAATATTGAGATATTAATGAAGTTGTGTACTGGAATGAATGCTACAGAAAGGGATGTTTGAAGCATTAAAAGGAGTGGTAATGGTTCTTTATGAGCTGTTTTTAGTATTAAATACATAATTCCTTTGTTTAGAATGAATGCCATGGATTCAACATATGGTGGAAAGATCAATTGAAAGTTAGTACATCCATAGTATTTGTTGTCTTTTGCATAAAGAGATTATTTGTGATATCGATAATCTTGTAGGATTAGGTACTTGTTTCTAACATTTAATATTTATGTCCCTCAGGAGACTACCCTATATATAACACTTGAACCATGTCCAATGTGTGCTGGAGCAATACTTCAAGCTAGAATTGACGCTGTTGTTTGGGGAGCTCCCAATAAACTCCTAGGAGCTGATGGAGTTGGATTCGGTATGTAACTAAATGATTATGTTCATAAATATTATTCCATTAACTCCCTAGCCCCCAAAAGGGGGGACAAAAACTAACCAATAAAATAAATAAAACAGGTTTCTTTTATTAAAGAAAGATGAAGTTTCCGTTTTGGTATTGATTGGAACATGATAGACAGCAAGAAAATCATCCCACTCATCTGTATAAAGGGAATGATGATACGTATGATAGATGATAAAATTGATATTGCCTATAATTATGGTTGTTGAACCAAAAGATCCTCCTGATTTATTTATTTAGTTTGTAAGTATACACAGCAGTCAATTAGATCAGCTACCCCATGCCCCCCTTCTCTGGTATTTTTATCAAATTTTACTAGGAGATTTGTGAGTAGATGTAAATATACTATTTCCATTTGTGACCCGGGGGCGTTTTGGACCCTTAGACCTGTCCACTTGGACTAGTCGCGACGCGGCGCGACAAGGAAGAAGGTTGGCTAAGGCTAACCGGGCTGCTTGGGAAGTGACCCTTGAGCATTCAAAGACTCCAAGAGCGGAGCATCATAAGTAGCTAAGACCTTCCAGGATAAAGGACCATGACCCACGGCTTGACTCTAAGGAAGGCAGTAGGTAGCATTTTGCCAAGGCACCACAAGGCCAAACTACTTGAGGGAGGCAAGTGGATGGACAAACCAGTGAGCAAGGCTGGAGGCGTGCCCTTAGACGCAGACAGTCAGGGAAACCAGCCAGGCCAGCAGACTTAGCCTTGGGCAAGATCAGCAGGCAAGGGCAGTGGTGCGCCCAGAGTTGAGGCATGTGCCGCGGAGCGCGGCGCGTCCTAGACAGGTTCTAGCAGGGAACCAAGAGCAGTCCTGACTTGACACCAAATCAGTCCTGTCACGAACTCGGGACATGACCCGATGAAGATCCGCGCCTTAGCTTGATACGTGGCCTGATCCGTTCCGCACTAGCCGTTGGGAGGATCCGTGCCCCGACCCGAGGCGTGCCCCAACCGAGGCGCGGCGGCCATTGCTGCAACGACTAGAAGCCCGCCCAGATTTTTGAATTTGAGTTGTGTGCTGCCAAGGCGGCATTTTGGGCGACCCAACTGTCTATACAAGGGGATGGACACCCCTTGAGTTTTATTCTTTGGCATTCTTGGCTTTGTATTGGCTTACCCAAGTTAATAAGAAAGAAGAGCCTCCCTCACCCTCTCTCTCTACACTTGTGTGTGTTTTCATTGAGTGCTAGTTAAGTGAGCTTGAGTGGGCTTAGCTTGGCTAGGTGATCCGAGCAAGGGAGGGCCGAGTGCAAGAGAAGCTTGAGGAGCTGTCCGTGGTGTTCACTCTCTGTCTACACATTGCTTTTTTTGGGCCGAGCTCACTATGTGGGTGTGTCGGTCATTGAGTTACCTGGAAAAGGGAGAGTTGGGTGTGCTGGTTGGTGCTCGTAGGCTGATCACGAGTTGGAGCAAGGCTGAGCAAGGGCCTTGTCAACCTCTGCTACCGCACGGGAAGCTGTTGGGGACACTGTTGGCCGTGTCTCAACTCTTTCCCTGTGACAAGTGGTATCAGAGCATTGTGGCCTCATTGCTTGAACAAGCTGCTCTGATAAGCGGTATCAAGAGCAGTGCTGCGTGCAGTGCTCTGGATAGTGAACGGTACTGAACTGTTGAACAGGTAAGCCAAGTCCTGAAATTTGCTACTCTAGGTGGGTTTGCTTCGGTTTTTCTGTTGAGCTTGAACGGAACTGCTACCCCTAAGCGGACACTATGCTGGATATGGCTATCTCTGATACCACTTGTCACGGGGAAAGAGTTGAGGCACGGCCAACAGCGTCCCCAACGGCTTCCCGTGCTGCAGCAGAGGTTGACCAGGCCCCTGCTCAGCCTTGCTCCAGCTCGTGATCAGCCCACGAGCACCAACCAGCACGCCCGGCTCTCCCTCTTCCCAGGTAACTCAGTGACCAGCACACCCACACAGTGAGCTCAGCCCAGAGGAAGCAATGTGTAGAGAGAGAGTGAACACCACGGATAGCTCATCAAGCTTCTCTTACACTTGGCCCCTCCCTTGCTCGGATCACTGAGCCAAGCTAAGCCCACTCAAGCTCACTTAGCTAGCACTCAATGAAAACACACACAAGTGTAGAGAGAGAGGGTGAGGGAAGCTCTTCTTTCTTATTAACTTGGGTAAGCCAATACAAAGCCAAGAATGCCAAAGAATAAAACTCAAGGGGTGTCCATCCCCTTGTATAGACAGTTGGGTCGCCCAAAATGCCGCCTTAGCAGCACACAACTCAAATTCAAAAATCTGGGCGGGCTTCTAGCTGTTGCAGCAATGGCCGCGCCGCCTCGGGTTGGGGCACGCCTCGAGTCGAGGCACGGATCCTCCCAACGGCTAGTATGAAACGGATTAGGCCACGTATTAGGCTGAGGGGCGGATCTTCGTTGGGTCATGTCCCGGTTTCGTGACAGGACTGATCTGGTGTCGGGTCGGGACTGCTCTTGGTTCCCTGTTGGAACCTGTCTGGGACACGCCGCACTCTGTGAGGCGCAGTGCGCCTCTGGGCGCACCACTGCCCTTGCCTGCTGATCCTGCCCAGACTAAGTTTGCTGGCTTGGCTGGTTTCCCTGACTGTTTGCGTTTAAGGGTGTGCCTCTAGCTTTGTTCACTGGTCTGTCCATTCACTTGTCTCCCCCCAGTGGTTTGGCCTTGTGGTGCCTTGGCAAGATGCTGCCTACTGCCTTCCTTAGAGTTAAGCTGTGGGTCATGGTCCTTCATCCTTGAAGGCTTTGGCTGCTTATGATGCTCCGCTCTTGGAGTCTTTGAATGCTCAAGGGTCACTTCCCAAGCAGCTTGGTTAGCCTTAGCCAACCTTCTTCTTTGTCGCGCCACGTCACGACTAGTCTGAGTGGATAGGTCTAAGGGTCCAAAACGCCCCCGGGTCACACTCTCCCCCAGCTGTTCCGTCGACGCCCTCATGGACGTCCAATAAGTGCATGGCTCCTCCGACTCTAAGTAGGTCTTCCTCTTGTTCCTTCTTGACCTTCGCCTCCGCTTGGGCAAATTCTCTTGCCCAAGTGTCCTTGCTGCTGTCTGTCGCAGCTTGGACATGTCCGTTCTGCATGCTGCCCATCTTTGGTTCGTCCCTGAACCATGGCCCTCTGACTTAGAAAATTTTTCAATTTGCTTGGCTCCTTGGCCTGAGCTTGCTGATTGCCCAGCTGCCTGCTGCAGTGGCTGCTCTTCCCGCACTAAGTCTGGAAGCTCTTTCCTTCTCAACTTTGCCAGAGGTGCTCCTGTATCCTTGCAAGCAACTGGCACATCCTATCCAGTCTCTGGTCTGCAGACTCCCAAAAGTCCGTCCTGTCCTGCCCCCGTCCAAGCAGTCGAACCCAGACTGCTGATCAGCTGTCTCGCCTCTCACCGAGACAGTCTCGGCCCCAAGGCCTCCAGGCCGTGTTAGAGAGCTTGTTGTGCCTCTTGCAGCACACTGGCCTCCCCCAGTCACCCCATCCAGCTCTGTCCATCGAGACTGGGCCATGGGCAGCTCGCCCCTTCCACTCCGTGGACTGCCTTAGCCACCCGGACACCCCTCTCCCCAGAGATAGCCATATCCAGCATGGTGTCTGATCAGGTGTAGCAGTTCTGTTCAAGCTCAATAGAAAAACCGAAGCAAACCCACCAGAAAATCGAGAGTAGCAGAGTTCGGGACTTGGCTTACCCATTCAGCAGTTCAGCACCGTTCACTGTCCAGAGCACTGCACGCAGCACTGCTCTGGATACCGCTTATTAGAGCAGCTCATTCAAGCAATGAGGCCACAATGCTCTGATACCACTTGTCATGGGAAAAGAGTCGAGGCACAACCAACAGCATCCCCAACGGCTTCTCGTGCGGCAACAGAGGTTGACCAAGCCCTTGCTCAGCCTTGCTCTAGCTCGTGATCAGCCCATGAGTACTAACCAGCACGCTTGGCTCTCCCTCTTCCTAGGTGACTCAATGACCGGCACACTCACACAGTGAGCTCGGCTAAGCGGAAGCAATGTGTAGAGAGAGAGTGAACACCACAGACAGTTCCTCAAGCTTCTCTTGCACTCCTTTGCTCGGATCACTTAGCCAAGCTAAGCCCACTCAAGCTCACTTAGCTAGCACTCAATGAAAGCACACACAAGTGTAGAGAGAGGGGGTGAGGGAAGCTTTTCTTTCTTATTAACTTGGGTAAGCCAATACAAAGCCAAGAATGCCAAAGAATAAAACTCAAGGGGTGCCCATCCCTAATATAGACAGTTGGGTCGCCCAAAATAGCGCCTAGGAAGCACACAACTGTCACGGCCCAAACGCAGGCCCGTGACCGGCACTAGGGTTCTCGACCCTAGTCAGCCATACAACTACAAACACATACTAAAACCCAACCGAAACATATATATATATATATCTCAAACCGTCAAATCTAAAGCCAGGATCTTGTCTGAGTAATAAAGGGAGTACTAGAGTACAAAACAGGTAAACAAGGAACTCGCCTGTATATCGAACAGAGCTGCAGACAACCGCCTCAACCTTGGCATGCAGCTTGAGAAGATCAACCTATATCTGGAAAGTTTATAAAAAGTGAGTCGTAAAATTCAGTGAGTATAGATGATACCTAATCTATGCAAGTTAGAATATGCATCATGCCACAAATTGAAAACCATACATACATATACAGAGATCAATAAGACATATCAAACATACTTTTAAAGATACCGTCAACCAAACATCCCATCACATCACATTACATCACATCATATCACATCACAGCACTGGACCCAGGTCTACTCACCACTAGACGTTATGGATTACCGTACTCCAGCCAAGTTCCTAGTATTGTAGTCACTTCACACAACCTAGGCCGACTCACCACTGGACGCTACGGACCGCCGTAGTCCAGCTGAGTTCTTGGCATCGCAAGCAACTCACTCGACCTAGGCCGACTCACTATTGGACACTACGGATTACTGTACTCTAGTCGAGTTCCTGGCGTCCCCAAATCACATCACACGACATCATCCTCACATACAAGTCAAGAACAAGCACCTATACACATACAAAGTTTATATTTTCAAAAACCAGTGGTACATACCAACATAACTCACTCACAGTTCATAAAACACATAACACATTTTTCAAGATTCATGTATCAAAACACAGTTTCGCAAATCCATACAGTCATCAGGCTAGAAAAACAAGTGTGAAAATACATGCATAGAGAGGATATCATCACTCACTGTACAGGCTGAATCAAAAGAGGTCTCAGGTCACCTCAACCATCTCTACGGTCTGGGTACTCCTCCATGGGTGAATCTGAAATCAAGCCACACAAAACCATCACTAACCCCATCACCAGTACAAGAAGCGGGCTAGACAACCCAAAACCGGACTCAATTCCCATCTCCACACCCTGACAAGCATCCCGAAGCATCACTACCCATCGCTGGGACCCATGCGACTCACTAACATTCAACACTCTACTTAACCACCCTCAAATTTACAGAACTCGCCTCCATGACCCTCGAACCGGCTTAACCCGGTTCAAAACTATCCCAAACTCAACTAGATTGATCAGGAAACTCTCAAAATCGGATTCAGAAGGCCCAAAAACCCTAGGAATTGGTCTAAACTTGCCAAAAAGGCCTTGAATCGGCCTTGAAGCGGATCAAAACTCTTATTCTAAGCATCGGCACACAAACCGAGCCCAGTTCACCTTCAACCACTCACCAAAAAATCACCAAACTTTATGGTTACCTAGGTCTCATCATGCTGAATTAGGAACTGGTTCAACCTTCCCAAGAACCGGTCTAAAAACCGGTGAACTGGTCACCCAAAGGATAACACACTAAACCGGCCACCCAAAATTCCCCAAACCTGTTTGGTTTGATAGCTCTCATTCCATTGAATCGGGAACTGGTCCAATCATTAAGAGAACTGGTCCAGAAAGCCCTGAACCGGCTGGTCAAAGCTTCGGTTAACACTGGCCAGTTCACTGTCCAAAAACCCTAATTCCAATATTAAATTAATAAATTCTGGAATATTTAATTCCTGCTATCCCAATTCAACCCCTATCTGGGCAGAGCCTATCCCCGAGAATAGCATAATCCTAATTCTTTCTGAGTCAACTCGGATGGGTTGACTCATGTCTCCCAAAAATAGAGGGCCAAGTTGACCCGCTGAGTCAACTCGGCCGTTCTCGGGCCTAATCGAGCTGGGCCAACCCGTAGCCTTGGCCCGCATACCACACCCCCCCCCCCTTACTGGGCCGAGTTGACCCAACGAGTCGACTCAACTCAGTCACTACTTAGCCTGGCTCGCGGCTTAGGACTCCAGGCCTGCAACCCTTCTGGGCTGAGCCCGGGCCCAATAGCCCGGGCCGACCCTGTACGGGACCCGGACCCATCCGGGTCTTGTCTTTTTCACTTAGCTGAAGCAACCCGAACCCGACTCTCCTACATACGGAACCTGAAACCAAGAAAACCCAAAAATCCAAAAATTTTGCAAAAATTTCAACTTACCTAGCCAAACTGAAACTTACCAGCTTGAATTCCGAAGCCCCCGAAACGATTTCCAAGCTTTAATCGGATCCAAAAGTACTCAAAATCATAGTTTTCTCTGGAAAATGTCAGTCGCTTGCCGCAGCTCTTTCCAGCTCCAATTCCCTCTCTCTCTCACTCCAACTCTCAAATTAAACACACCTTGAGGCCTGATTCTCATCCTCACACATAAACCCGAGGTTGGGTGAAGCTGTCTCTCTCCCATTGGAGCGAATTTGCTTTGGGGACTTTCGGCCGGGTTCTGGCTGAAAGTCCTCCCTCCTGTCCCACTCCGACCCACCCAATTTTCATTTCCTTCAAATAACTCTCACCTAAATTCCATATTGATCCCTAGCTCATCCCTATTTTACACAATGCCCCCTAGTTCTTTTAATTAATTCCAAAACACCCCTGAGTCTTTTTAATTAAAATTTTTCAGCATTATATAAAAAATTTTAGGATCATTACAACAACTCAAATTCAAAAATTTGGGCGGGCTTCTAGCTGTTGTAGCAACGGCTGCCGCGCCTCGGGTCAAGGCGCAGATCCTCCCAACGGCTAGTGCAGAGCGGATCGGGCCACGTATCGGGCTGAGGCCCGGATCTTCGTTTGGTCATGTCCCGGGCCTGTGACGGGACTGATCTAGTGTCGACTCAGGACTGCTCTTGGTTCCTTGCTGGAACCTGTCTGGGACGCGCCGTGCTCTGCGACACATCGCACCGCGCCTCTAGGCGCACGACTGCCCTTGGCTGCTGATCTTGCCCAAAGCTAAGTCTGTTGGCCTAGTTGGTTTCCCTGACTGTCTGCGTCTAAGGGCGCTCCTCTAGCCTTGCTCAATGGTTTGTCCATTCACTTGCCTCCCCCAAGTGGTTTGGCCTTGTGGTGCCTTGGCAAGATGCTGGCTCCTGCCTTCCTTAGAGTCAAGCTGTGGGTCATGGTCCTTCATCCTTGAAGGCCTTGGCTGCTTATGATGCTCCGCTCTTGGACTCTTTGAACGCTCAAGGGTCACTTCCCAAGCAGCCCGGTTAGCCCTGGCCAACCTTCTTCCTTGCCGCGCCGCGTTGCGACTAGTCCGAGTGGACGGGTCTAAGGGTCCAAAACGCCCCCGGGTCACACATTGCTAAGATATATTTTGGCTAGGAACTGAACAAAATTAGTTTTGTTCTCTTGTCTGTGTTCTTTTCATAAAATTGCCCACTGTATTTGTATGAGGTGTGCTGCCTAGCTAAGCTGCAATTGTTTTAATTAGGCCCAGTTGAAGTGGAACTGATCATGCACTGGTTTATGGTAGAGGTGGACAAGATAATCAGAATTGGTGCTAATAAGCAAGTTCTAGGTTCCACTTAAATAACATTCTATAATTCTTTTCTTCCAGTGTTTTGTTTTCCTTTGGATTTGTTTTTTTTAATTTTTTGTTGAAGTGAAGGGTGCATAACACTCTTGTCGAAGCTAAATCATGATTAAATTTGGATAACTTTTTTATTATCATTTTTTTCTTTACCATTACTGCCCAGGATAAATACTGAACTTCAAGTTGAAACTTGTTCAGTGTTTTGGAGTTTACCTTCACGTTCTGAACTGTGATGGAATTTTGACAGGCTTTTCCCTAATGGGAGTGAAGGTGGAAGTGGCTGGGAACTAACAGAGAAATCAGCCGGCCCGGTCCATCCATTCCACCCTAACATATCGGTTAGGAGAGGTGTATTGGCTACAGAGTGTGCTGATGTCATGCAGCAATTCTTCCAGCTAAGGAGACGTGAGAAGGAGAAGAAAGAGAAACCAGAGTCATCAACCTCATCACCATCACCTTCATGTCTTCCTATATCAAGACAACCTGTGAAATTTTTTACCAAGATGCACGATGCCTTCCACGTTATGTTCTGTTTGTAATGGATCAGACAATTTATTTTGTCCGGCTCTTTCATGAGCAGTACAGCTAAGCGTTACTAAGGTTTGTTAGTTCCTTCTATTGCATAGCAATTACCATTCCTCCAATCTCAATTAGTTCTTCAGTGCGACTTGATGGGTAGGAATGACTCTTGATTCGGGTTCACATCATAATTGGAGGATTGCAATGAGGTAGTCATGCAAGTCATGCACTAGTGAACATGATGACTGGATGAGCAGCAGTTCTCCATTTTTTCCAACTAATATAGTGGAAGTTAAGACTAGGATGGTAATAATGGGCGTCAAGTGGCTTGAGATGTGTGGGAGAGGACTAGAATTCTATCCAGCTAGACTGACGAGAATAACAAAGATCTCTACAATGTTTCCATTTCTCTCCAAAAATGTTTCAATTTTTGGCAATGAGTACTTAAATCTTTAGAGTGAAAGCGCTCTAGTGTTTATGGAAGTTGCAAAGAACATATTTTTTCGTAGTGTAATCAAAACTGGACATGACTGGACGTGACAGGCTATTTGAACTAGTTGACGAGTGAATGGCTGGACAAAAACCAAGATGGGTACAGTTCTGCACGTTTGTCCACAAGAATCTAAGGTAGATTGTTCTATGATAATGTTCATATCAAACTTGTAAATTAAATATATTTAGATTTTATTACTGTTTGAATTATGGGTAATGAGTTGTGAACCGATGCACTTGCTAGGTTTCAAGCATGGCCAGGCATTATGTGGTAATTTACATCAGAAAGAAATGGTTGACGGTGTCGTGCCGGTTCAGAAAGTGTCAATTATTATTTAGAGTAAAAAGTAGCTCTTGTTTGTTTTCACATGGCTTTCTAGGCTTGAAGCCAGAAGAGTACCAGCCATTAAGATGATGAAAAGAAAGTAGCATTTCCCCCTGTTGCTTCCCCTTTAAAAAATTGATTGGGACTCGATACCAACTTTTGATTCATCTGTAGAGATCAGTGTTATGACTCGAAGCAAGGTAGGTGGGGTTTATTTATTATTGCTAATGACAATGGCAGTCACCTTCCTTAATTCTCACTCCATCTCAAGTTGAATCATCATTTCCATACGCAATATCAACTATTCTAATAAAAAACCATACTTTTTGGTTTATTTCTCTTTGCGGCAATGAACTACTTGGCCAGGCATCATGGGAATGTAAACTACGAGCTTGAGATTAAAAGTGAATGGAAATTATCTTTGCTAATAACCAGGCCCTATTTCATATACCACTCTACGCCAAGAGAACTTACCTGGAGTCAATAGAGAGAGTTTGACAATACCAATCAATAAAGGTACTCTCTCTTTAATCCTTATTATCAGCCTAGTCCAGAGATTTTAACAGCCCATTTTACGCGCAAATGGCACATGACACCATCACCAATTATTTGCCCAGATGGCGCTATTTATGAAATTATTAGGCATTCTGACCGACCGCAACTAAGACCCTTGATATCCTTTCCCTAGTAGCCACTTGAATGACAGTATGGGATGCTTTAATTCCACTATTTTCAGAACACTTGGAAAAGAAAATCCAGTTTATTTTTCAAGCAAAGGAAAAGAAACTTTTAATGGTTTTCACATTCAATTAGCTGAAATAAGGAAAGTAGGAGTCCTACGAAAAAAGGCTCATTTCCGAGCTATTTTGCCCTATTTTGACAGTCCCAACAGCAAAAGCTTTAGAGGAGCAGTAGCATTCACATGAAGATTACGTCTCTCCTTCCAACAAATTCACCAACCCTTTTCTCCTACTAGAAGTCCTCTAACAGTGTATTTGTTGTTGTATATAACTACCAGTTCTTTTTGTTGTTTTATATAACAACCAGTTCTTTCTTTCAATTCCCACCTCCACCAAAAATGCCCTCCCTGCTCTGGGCTTGTGTTCTGGCTTGCCTCTGCCTTCAACTAAGCAATGTCCAGTCTCAGACACCAGCAGCCTCACCTTCGTCTACCATGCCATTGCCCCCTCTACTCTCCCAACAACACCACCACCACCATCGAGCACTCCAACAGCGCCAACACAACCACCAACAAATCTAGCGACTCCTCCTCCCACAAGCACTCCAAAATCATCACCATCTCCTATTGTTACACCCTCCTCAAGCCCGCCTGTTCCACCCCCTCAAACCCCACCACCAAAGACACCACCAATCTCAAGTCCTTCACAACCACCCGTGCAGTCACCACCACCAGTCGCTTTGCCTCCACCAGCACTGCCACCTGCTTTGCCCCCACCACAGGCATCCCTAGCACCGGCACCAGCTACAGGAGCACCAGTTCCAGCACCATTATCCCCACCACCAACCGTGCCACCTGCACCAGCACTGGCACCTGCTGCACCGGCATCAGCACCACTTATTGCACCACCAACTCCTACTCCAGAACTAGTACCTTCACCTGCCCCAGCTCATGGTAAGCACAAGAAGAAAAGGAAGCATAAGCACAAGAAACATCATGCACCAGCTCCAGCACCAGCTGTCCCGAGTCCCCCTGCACCACCTACAGTTTCAGAGTCAGTGGAAACAACGCCAGCACCATCTCCAAATCTGGATCTGGTAATAGGCATGTTATTATTAAGTTTTCACCAAATTATTACTAAAAAAATTTAACTCTGTACAACAATCAAGTACCTGACCTTATGAAACACTGACATTTTACAATTTCTGTGACAGAATGGAGCAGTATCACTTCAGCTGCAGGGTGAAAGATCTTTGATATTGTTGCGGGTTGGAGTGACCATTGCCATTCTGTTTGCTGTCACAGGCTACAACATCGAGAATCTTATTTGATGAGCTGCAACCTTAGCTATTATCGCAGAGATGTTTTTAAGATGGAATTCATTTATCCATTCATCGGCATAGAGACGCACATCAGCATAGAGAAGGAATAAAACAACATCGTCAAAAATGCTATAGACATTTAATCAGATTGTTTATTTTTATATTTTTCTATATCACGCATGCTCTTGTTTAGAGTTTTTTTCCCCATTTTTTTGGGGAAGAGGAAGGAATTATAGGTGAAAACAAATTCTTCAATGCTAAGTATCTGGGAAAGACAAATTTTCAATTGAACTCAAAAAGACAAAATTATTAGTTTTTTCCAAGAAATAAAACCAGAATGAAGCCACAAACTTCAATTCATTTACATATCAGACTTGATCTGCAATTGAGCCTATCTCACTCTCCTCTCGCAAATCATACTCAACCACCAACCCAAGATTGTCAATTAATTTGTGATGCTGCAAACAGCCTGCACACTGGGAAGTAAAATGAATTTGTCAGGAAGAATTACAAGTGCTTTAATCAAATGTTAGACATAGGAAGTTAATTTAAACTAAAAATATTTAGTGTGACATGTATAATATGCGAAGCTTAAGAACCAATGCAACTGGTTATTACACATGGCCATAAATCAATTTTTCATGCAAATTACGCTGTTGCATTCTTTTTCCAAAATTTTTGTCATTTAGTTTGGTCTTCAACTTAGCTGCTGTAGAACCATTGCTGGCAATTCCATTGAGAACCTAGAGAAAATCATCCACCATAGATTCAAAATTCTAACTCTTGTGATTTTTAACATATTGAACACTGAATAACTTGCTCTAAGTTCTTCAAGGAATCAAAGCTTACAATTAACAAAAAATAAAGTGACATGAAAACTCGAGAAAAGAACCAAGCAACTGAGAAAAGGGAGGAGAGAAAAATTGCATAATAACCAATAATAAAAGCAGAGGAATTAAACATAAACATGAATATCTTCATAGAAATAAAAGTAACAACGAAAAACAAGTAAAGTAAAGAGCAATAGGACCACATTTTGGACAAGTGAATCTAATGTTTCATTGAGGATGAATAGTGCAGAGACAAAAGTTGCTGAGTGATGACATGCATGTTATGTAATTATGTATATTGCACGAATGCAGTATCAAAATTCATCAACAAGTCCCAGAATTTTATTTAATTAGCTCCAAGTCCAAACAGATTTATGAAAACTGAGAGTAAACTTCAAAAATCAATGGTTTATTTGTCCTACCCATCACCTTAAAAAGGTTCCTGCAGGATGCAGACACCTTCATTATGTTTGTTAAAGTAGCACTTGACATTGTGTTAAGAGTATTTTGCCCACTGAAGCAAGTTTAGATAAAATAAATGGAACCATCAACTGATGATAACTGCAAATGTATCTTTTTCCCCTAAATTGCAGCTTGTTAGAAAACTAGTATTAATACATTTTCATTTTTGTCCTTTTCTCTAATACAAGGGAAATAAAGATAATGCAATAGATCAGTATATCAATTCATATTCATTTTAATCGGGATCAACAATATAAACATTCTTTCTAAAACATATAAAAGTTGATGTCACTGTTTCAGCCTTAGTAGCAATCAACAAGATTATACCTGTACAAAAACAGTTCCCCTTTCATAGGCTACTTTATTTACGAGCCTTTGAGTTCTTTCACCACATGCGCCGCAAGTAAAGTGTACTAACAAACTTCTTCTTGGGAGTTTTAAGTCAACAGCAGCTTCCTGAAGTGGACATATGGGAAACCAGTTAGGTTCACATCAATGCACGTGTTCTTAACAATACAGCAAATAACTAGAAAGATAAAGTCAGAGGTCTAAAAGGAGGGATAAAATTAATTGAGTTTGTGAAATATAAAAACAAAAGAAGATGAACATTTTCTGATTCAAATTAGAGTAATAAGGGTAATATAATATGCAATTCAATAAACCCTTAGTCAGAATCACAAGATGATGAAAGCACCATCCAAGTCTTCAACACCTTCATAATGGCCCCTTAATGAGAAAATGAAATTTGTCAAAGACACCTGGGTTTTGGGTGCTATGGCAGACAAAGCTTTCGCTGAGATTGTTTTACAAAATTACTGTATCAACAATTAATGATGTGCTTTGAGACCTATGCTTACCATAAGATCAAAAGCTTAAGCTGTTAGTTAAAGTGTAAAAATTATTACTTTAC